ATCGGGACGACGATATATATTTTACAGTCAATATGCTTCACACTGTAATCTCAGTCTCCCGACAGCAAAGCGTTCGGATACATGGCAACAATAACACCGGCAATTGCAAAAAGTGGGCAATTGCCTGCCCTCCACTTTTAGCGTGTGTCGAAGCTACACGCTAGCCGCGAACACGATCTTTTAAGCTCGTGTCCTGTATACCCTCCTTCCGTGTATACCCGTCTATCGGTAAAGTGCTTCTCTCTTTAGTTTTGATATTTCAATTGCGCGTGTAGCGATTTGCCTTACCGATATTTACCGTGCCTGTTACGCGTCAGCGAATCACCGGTGATATATCCGATGCAAATTCACTCGGCTACGTGTGCACGACGAGGCATTGATATGCATACTTTGTAACGAGCTACGCATTTCTATCCAAAAAGAATGAAACGAATGTCTGAAAGATGAAAATTGAAAAAGAAAGAAAGAAAAAAAAAAAGAATGGAAATTCGAATCGAGAATTGTCGAAGGTAAATTTCAATAATTTCGATATCATTGAAAGCGTAACGTACGCTGTGAAGTTGGCAACGGTACAGTTTCGAAGGTGTTGCAAAAATGTTTGAATTCGGCGAGAATGGCGACGACGAGATTTCAAACGATTTCAAACGAACTGATTATTATCGTTGCTTGCTTACTCTTCGATTACGGCTCGATCTCGCGGCAACGCGTCTTTCACAAAAAACGACGAAGAAAGAAAGCAAAAGAAAGTCAGAAGAGCGAAGCCGACGGCGGGTCGCGAAGCGGTGCGAAACTTCGAGTGAGAACGAGCGAGTCTTCATGCGACACGGTCCTCCTCGACACTACCGAGTGACTCGAGCTTTAAAAACGTCAACTATCCGCGTCGTGGCGAGGCTCGACCGAAGCCTCCTCTCCGCCTTCCTTAATCTTCGTAAAGTTCAACGACCACCGATCGAGCCGCTTGAAACCATAGTTATGTCACGCGAATCGGAACACTAGGAACGCAAATACACGATCGACAGCGCCACGAGCAAACCACGAGCTGAAATATTTCAAATCTTCGAGAATACGAAACGCGTGGCTTGTGGTGTACGGTCCACTTATTACCGACTGCGAGACGATTCGTTTGATTTCGGTGTGACAACTCGTTAAAGGGCACTCGCGAAAGAAAACGTTCGGTCGCCGCGGGCGGAAAAAGGAAGGCAGACAGGTAGTAACAACAGTGAGGAAAAGAGCGGAGAAAAACGTAACGATCGTGAACGATTCGTTTGCTGGCCGTACCTCTCGCGAATGATCCCGCGTTGTTGCTCGACACAAAGGAAAGAAAGATACGAGATGGCTAGAGAGGCTTTAGCACACACGCGAACACGAAGGAGGAAGGAGCTCCGCGACAGCCGTCGACGCCGGCCGGTGTCTCCAATCGAACTGCGGGGGTTGGTCGACGGTGGCGCCGCCGAGGGACGCCGAGCGTCGCCGTGTGGCATGCGTCATAACGCCACCGCCTTCGATCGGCCGCCATTTTTTTTTTTGAAACGCGTTACTAACCCCTTGAAAACATTCCACCCCAAACGCTGTTTCCCGATCGCAGCTCAGGACCGTACGATTTTCGAGCGAAAGGGAAAAAAAAAAAAAAAAGGGGGAAAAATTGCAATCGAACAATAATGTCCGGCATACTGAAAACAAATACTTTACTCTGAATATTTGTGCAAACATATGTATATAAAATTGCGAATAAAAGTAGATCAGCCTGGAATATTATTAATTTGATTATTAAACAATATTTAAAATATCCAATGAGTATACTTGAAAATAAAGAAAGAATTGCATCAAAGTGAAGTACGACTTCGAGGCAAAAATTTCACATGTAACTGCATTCAATGGCAATTTGAATTATAATAATCACGCGTTGCGAATGGAATGTTCCATTATTGCGGAATATTCCCAATATACTTATCGCATAATTTTTGCGCACACGTCAATGTACGCTCGTATATTACGTTTTCCTATTTCACGTATTTCACGTCTGCATATTATAATTGCACAAACATCCACGTTCTAGACGTTAGTGCTATAACGTGCAAGATTATTTCACTGAATACGTGCATCTACTAATTTCGAGTATTATAAATGAACGCTCGTAATTTGTATAGAAATTTAATTAACAAAAAAATAATTTGCAAATTCTAGCGAAAATAGAAGATCTGAGAACGTCGAGAGTTTGATACACTTCTGTAGATATATCATAAGAGTAATTATACATAAAGCGTACAAATGAACGAGTTGAAATACGCAGTTAACAATCGATAGCATAACGATATCTGAGATATAAAAGATGCTAAAATCCAGGAGGATCTTTCTTCGACTTGCGACTTTCACTTATCTCTTAAGTTAATTCAAATTTAAACTGGTTAACAACGGCCTTTTCCAGTTAATCGAGTTCAGCCACCATCCTTATTCACTGTGAAACCTTAATGATAAACGGATAGCCTTCCCTATAGAAAATTTGGAGCATCGAAAATGTGGAACGGGATAAGATTATAGCGATGCACTAACGAGGTTGCAACGAAGAAATTGCACATTGTGAAAAACGCCGATAATGGTTTTATCTGCACTTACGTACAATGTAATATCGTTATTTGAACACCTTAGTCTGTAAATTCGAATCGAAGAGGTAATTTCAAATAACTGAATTATACTTATTTACTTCTCACAATGAGGAAACACGCGATTCCGTATATACTTTTTATTCATTAACAATCAATAACATATGAAACATACTATCATATCGGTTAATCAAGCGCAATTCCACAACACTTCCACAAACTCTTATTTGCACTCACGTGCAGGACAATGCTTATCGTAGTACAAAATAAATCTAAACAAGTGTAAAAATCGAAAATATATTATAAACGCTAATACTGTAAATGTTGCATCATAAATATGGATAATATGTGTATATCTAACCGGTAAAGGGAACTTAAATGTAAAAGCACCTTTGCGGAGAAAACTCTTTGTGGACTTCCAACAGCAATATGCTGCGAATAATATCGCAGGCGTATACAAATTAATGTATACTTCTTATGTAAGATAAAAATAAAATATTTAAGCTATTACTCTTATTTTGGACGGACATTTGTACGAATAATTTGCACGAGCAATTATTTAATCAATTGTTAGAATTCAGTCTACCAAGTAAGAGAAAGTTGGACATTGGAAGTATGTGAAAATATTTAGAGTAGATGAGAGGATCGTACATATTCCACGTATTGTCGCTTGTAACACGATAATATCATTTGTTACGTTTCTACTATTAGAAACTTCGAGCTACGTACTTTTCAACATTCGATATATCAAATAATATGTATATGCATTACTCACGCTTTAAATTGTTCCCGTAAACGATAATTTATGTCAATTCAATACTCATTTACATACAAACAGTCACATGAGTATATGCGAAACGGTTTGAAACTTATCGCAGTGTTACTTCCGACACAACAACGTGCCACGACGCGTGGTCAGGCGATGCAAATTTAACGCTCGATTCGTCGTCAAACGGCGACTTAGTAGTTTTTAATGGTGTTTGTGAAGGTGACCCATGTATCTTCTATAGGCGCCAGTACAGTGATTACAATGAGAGCCGCGGTGAATAGGGCGATCACGACGAAATATATGCCGAAGATAAATTTCCTGATTCCAGCGTGCTATCGAACAGAATGAGAAATGAGACGATAAAGATTATCACAGATTCTCTGCGCATCGCGCCGATCCTGATTACCGAGAAACTTACAGGAGCATCCTGTCTTGCATCCGGATGGACCATTGAACCACGAGAGTGCATGTCCTTCATCGGGAATGAATTCACCCTCTGACTTGCCTGTTTGTCAAAGGCACATCCAACGAACTACAACATGTCACATCGATTTCTTTCTATAAATATCTTAATATCAAGCTTCATCCAGATTCAGAATATTTGGTGTTTGTACATATATGATTATAAGGAGATTTTCGACAGGGGTTTGCATAATCAAATATAAAATACATTAGACGTGATATACGATGCTACTGGCTGCATGCATATGGGATCAAAGAGAGGCTGCACTGACTTCTCCAAAATGTTAATAATCCACGGTGAATTAATTTGAAACTTTATTTCATTAGCAGCTGTTTGAATATTTAAAGCGATAAATTGCACAGTGAGGTGGAAATGGACATTGCCGGAAGCATACTGGAAAAAGTAGGCGCAGTGTTTAGACAAGTTCTATTTAAAAAAAAAAAAAAAAAAAAAAAAAAAAAATGAGATTGACCTTGGGACAGTCTTGACACATTTATTTGTTCGTGCATAAAACTTTAACGACCTTCCCATCTAGTTTCCTTTTTAATCTGTTTATTCAACTTCTTTCTAGATATCCATTTGTGAATTAAACTGGGACATCCGCTATAGATAAAATACATTATCCGCGTATATGTGCATACATACAAAATCAGGCAGATGTACAAGAATTTCGCTTTCCGCTGATATCAAATATCATTCTTACCGTCAGGATGAGATGAGTCAGAATGTGGAATACCACGTAGGCAGCCAGAATCCAGTCGACCCATTCCGGGAGTTTGGCCTTATTCAGTCGAACCGCAAAGAAAATTGCGATTACTGTGAAAGGAATTTCAATGCGTCGGTTAGTTAATCCATTCTCCGTAACGAGAATGAAAAAAAAAAAAAAGAGAGAGAGAAGAAGCTATTTACAAAGCACGTATGATATTAAAAGAAAGAAAAAAGAAACAAGAGGGACTTACTGCCACAAATCTGTGCCGCATTTCCAACAAACCAGTGCGCCCAATTAAAAAGAGGTCTTCGCGGTGCTCCTGGGTGAGGTCTCGCCGCTGCCATAAACGGTTGAATAAAAGCTAAGATCGTGGTCGCCAATCCCAAGGATGCATGTATCGTCTCCGAGCTCCATTCACCCAATTCGACGAATATTATTACAAAAGCCGCTACCGTCATCGACCACGTGAGTATCATAAAGAATCTGTGCCACTTGAGAGTAAATATATTTTTATCAGTAATCTTCATTGAATTCCATCGCGAGAAGTGGGCATGAAACTGAACAGCGTAAGTGATAATGACATTATTATGACACACGGGCACTCGAGCCGAATATGAAATAATCTAAAGTTAATAAATATCCTTCAGCCACTTGGGATCACCTAGGATTCAATATCATCGTTGGACATCAGCCAAAGTTAAGTGTTCTTCCCGAACGTTTAGATCCTCGAGTTCAAATAACGAGTCGAGTGCAGCAACGCTGTTCGAAAGAAAAAAATGTATCACGCTCAGCATACAAAAAAAAAAA